ACCTGTACTAGGGACTATAAATTAGTATCTCAGCATCTACTGGCTTGATTTTTACCATTCTTTCATTAATCTATATTATATTATGAGTGCCCCAACAATAAGGAAGTACAATAGTAAATCTTCCAGTACCCCTTTAATGGTCTGGGCCAAAACAGGATATAGAAAAGAATTAAGAACTAATTAATTTTTGGTCTCATTCAAAACTCTAGACTGTCTTTTATTGAAAAGGAACATATTTTTGAGATTCTTTGATATCAGTTGGGTTTACCAGTCCTCAGCACTTAATTATTAATAAACCTGCATGTACAGAGTTCATAAAAAAGGTAAGTTAATTGTTAAGAAAAATCAATGTGTTACAAAATGTTGCTGTAAAGTTAGATTATAAAGTTATCAATGGTGTATTTTTACAGCACCTCTGTGGGTTTGCATCTAAGAGAAAAAGCAAAGTGTGGTTGGAGCATTTTTCTGACCATCTGCTGAGTGCCGCTGTACTGTATGTACATTAAGTTCATGCAGAGGCCCATTAAGTGGCTAATGGGGTTTGATTGCCGGTGAAACGAGCCGCAACAAATGAGGAGATGTCCTAATGGATGGACAACTTCAGCTACTGAGCCAGAGAGTTTGATGGAGTGGCACGGGACACTCGGGCTCTGCTCCAAATCTGCCTCTTCAGCTGCAATATTCTATTTACAAAGAGGAAGAAACATTTATCTCACAGGAATTAAGTCCAGTTCTCAGAACAAAACTGCATGCACTATAGTCCTATTTAATGGCAACAAATAATGTTCGTCTGGTGACATTCTGTATTTTTCAAACCAAACCAACAATAAATGTAACCTGCTAACGAGTATTGTGCAGTCAAAGAAGTTATGACGTTGTAATCGCAATGAACACAAATTCAACCAATACCTGTGAATTCTGCATGACCCTGTGAACACCAAACACTGCAACCTTTCTGCAAAACTGACCAATCACTGTAGTTTCATATGTCACCAAACTCACTTCCTCATTTCTAGTGTTGAAGATGCAGAGCATGCAGACATGTGTGACGACAGTGTCTCACAGTGACCCTGTCCAACAGTGTGATTTTATTCTAACTGGAACAAGTTGCCTTCGATCTTTGCAATAAAAAGAAAAAAAAGGATAAAAACACTGCAACATGATCACAGTTTTTTAGAAAAAGCTGCCGTGAAATCTGACATTTTATGCCACAGCAATTCCAATAAATCCTGCAAAATCCTGGAGGGACTGACTGTGTGTGTATCAAAGTCTGATATATCATCTTCCTCTGTGCCATAGAGCTCCACTGTTGTCTTAAAACTACTAAAATCACCATTGAGCTCCACTGTTCTCTCTTTATTACCATGAACACACACTGTAGTTTATTTTGACTCATTCCCACATGTCACTATCCTGTTGCCCCAAATACTCACTAGAGCACCAAATGTGGATTAATCCTTTTTGAAAATGAAACAATATATTTATGTGGCATGTTTTTCATAGTCTGGTATGTTTTTTTACACAAAACCAAACATTTTCATGTCAAGGACTCCCGCAATAGATGCACATTAGACCCCCAGTATGAGAGATTTTCTCTTAAGCCATTTAAGTCATTTTAAATATTATTATTATAATATTATTTTTAAATATGAAGATAAAAAGTCTCCACAGTCAATCAGTGATCAAACTGGGAGTCCTCTAAATTACGGCCAATAAAATTGGCCAATCCTATTTCGTCCCTTACAGTTCCAACTTCCAAAAATTGTTAAAAAAAAAAAAAGTTAAAACATTCTACTTCTCCTTTTGCTGCAGACACCCTAAAACCCTATCGAGGACCCCTGCTGGTCCCGGGACACCAGTTTGAAAACCACTGGCTTACTTCTCGGTGTATATGCATTGATAGCTTCAGGTTTCTGCATCACACTTGTAGAAGTTGTATACTGGACCAGAATTGACAACTTGTTGATAACTTTCAGCAGATAAATGTGAAAACATCCTTCTAGTGTCAGACTCTGCACATACATCATTCTGCATAGTCTAGATCAAACATCACACACAAAAAGAAACTGGAACCTCCACCTCAGAGCATCAGAGACAGAAGTGACACAGGCCTTGATATAAAGTATAAAATTGCTCAGAAATTACTATCCAAGTATTCCAAAGAAGTTGAGGGGAAGACTTAAAATATGTCGAGGTCCGTTTTACGCTGCCCCTGTCAGAGACTTAGCCCGGGAACATAATTTGCAGATAAATTGGGGAAGGTGGAGTATATGAAGAGCTGTTTTCACTAATCCCACTTCACCTTGAAGCTGTTTGACTTCTCTTTTCTCTCATTTTCATCCACACTCTATCAGCTCAAATCCCACGGCCCGTAAATCAACTGCTTAACTTTGCTCTTGTACGTGGACCAGGAAAGGGGAATGGAGCCAGAGGTTCCCACAGAAAATAAAACTGTCAATATAAAAAGGTCTGTCTTTTTTTTTTTTTTTTGCAGGGAGACTGTCTGTCCCCTGGTGATGCAGAGAGGACAGGTAATCCACAGTGAGATTATCTGGCTCTCTCATGTTGCACAGGTGCCGCTGGCTGATATGACACAAAGTAATAGGCCTCTAAAAGCCCATGTGGAGATGGCGGTCAGGACAGCTTTAGATAGTGGCAGATAAACAGCAGCAGCCTGGAGTTATGTCAACAACAACAAAAGCAATGCAGCATTCACTAGATTTTTCTCAACGGCATCATTTTGACATTACACCTTCACCGTCATAAAAGGTTTACAAACGGAGCAGCGCTAAAGCTTCTCCATGCAATATTGGTCAAATTGGAAATATAATTGACCAAGTAAAACAATATATAATACATTACATACATATAAAAAATTTTTTTTATTAAAAATTAATGTTATATACACAAAATACAAAATTTGACAGAGTTTGGTTTGTGACCAAAAATGCCCTATGTGGGTGGGGGTTCGCCTGAGATAAGATAAGATAATTCCTTTATTTATCCCCTTAAGGAGAAATTCATTTTGACACA